TCTCTCTCTCTCTCTCTCTCTCTCTCTCTCTCTCTCTCTCTCTCTCTCTCTCTCTCTTGCGCGCGCGCGTGCCCCCTTATGAGTTCCAAGAAAGAAATCCTTTGTTTACATCAGGCCGAAAAAACAAAGAAAAAAAAAGAGCACAGGGAGCGATGAGGGAGGAGAGAGGGGGGGAGGGAGGACGTGAGACGCTCTCTCTCTCTCTCTCTCTCTCTCTCTCTCTCTCTCTCTCTCTCTCTCTCTCTCTCTCTCTCTCTCTCTCTCTCTCTCTTGCGCGTGCCCCCTTATAAATTCCAAGAAAGAAATCCTTTGTTTACATCAGGCCGAAAAAACAAAGAAAAGAAAAGAGCACAGGGAGTGATGAGGGAGGAGAGAGGGAGGACGTGATCTGTCTCTCTCTCTCTCTCTTTCTCTCTCTCTCTCTCTCTCTCTCTCTCTCTCTCTCTCTCTCTCTCTCTCTCTCTCTCTCTGTGTGTCTCTGTGTGGCCCACCAGGAAGCAGGATCTGCAGCAGGAGGTCAATATGAAGGACGACAACGAAAACATGAAAACCCTTGCAGCTTTACTAGCCTCCGCGTGAGTGTAATGAGGTCTTTCCTGCACTCTCCCGAGGCTGAGGAGAAGGACGATGTGGAGGCGAAGGATCGCATAAAGAAAAAAGACATGGAGAACTAGGAACGAAAACATGCAATCCCTTGTAGTCTTCATTACCCCTGTGCAAGTATGATGATGCCCTTTCCCGCACTCTCCTGGAGTACTGAGCGATATTGGCATCCGAGGCAGAAGGATGAAGAGGAGGAGAAGGATGATGTGGCGGAGATGAAATGTGAGAAAGGATGGCATAGACAAAAAGGACACGGAGGAGGCGGAGAAACATGAGGAGGATGGACCATGGTAAACAAAACAGAAAGCAAAATGCGTCGGTAATGAGAAAGATAAACGATTTAGCCTCCTCCCCCTTTTCCTCTCCAACGTCACATCAGCATCCACATCTTCCTACACCCCCTCTCTCGTTATCATCATCGTCATCATCTAATATCTCCTCCCCCTCTTCGTCCTCCAATTTTTATCTTCGAATCATCATCGTTTCTCCATTCCTTTCCTTTCCCGTGCTCTCCTGGAGGCAGGAGGATATTGACCTTCAGGTCCTTCACGGCTTCCACATGGAACTGGACACATGCAGAGGCTGACCTGGGAGAGAACGAAGCTCGGAAGCGGAGAGAAGGATGACATGAAGGAGAACAACAGAAGAAACACGTGGAGGAGGAAGCCATTAAGGGGGAAGGAAGGAATATGGTGAAGCGAAATAGAAAGACAAACCCGAATTAATCACAAGCATCAAATGAAGCCACCACAGCCCCCTTCGGCTTTCCTCATCCCGCTTCTTCTTGCCGTCAGCAACGTCATACCCCTTCCCCTCTTCTCATCCCGCTTCTTCTTGCCGTCAGCAACGTCATACCCCTTCCCCTCTTCTCCCCCTAAGCTCACCCGCTGATAGAAAACCAAAGCAGTTCTCCGCCGGTCGTAAACTCCTTTCTCACCCCACCTACCTCTCTCTCTCTCTTCTCTTATACACCTCTACCCCATTTTCACCTCGCCCCATTGGCCAATCCGTTGATCGTATCCATTGCCGAGCTTTTAGTTCTGTTGTATTGGTCATAAACGCTCGTCTCCGCCTTCACATAAAGATCGCTCAACGAATATTTTCCCAGCGAATCCACCTGGTACCAACTCTTGAGCACCGCACTATCCTTGTCCGTTCCTGCCCACGTGACCTGGATTGCCAGCTCGCACCTCATGGGTGCCTCTTTGCACTGTTGACTCGTGCTCCGATCGAATGCGCAGCTGCTTTGCGCATCGGGATAGCCATCGAAATAACTGATACACTGCCCGTCTCCGCAGAACCTACAACTTTCCCTCTTCCACCGAAAACTCTCCAGTTTTCCCTTGTCCAAATTGACGATCAGGGTGTACGATGGAACTATACTATTACCGACAAACCACCGTCTCGGAGCGGCTAATCGGTCCTTGTTTTCGGTACCGGTGGCGAAAACGCTGAAGGCATCAAGACCTTTCGTTCGCAACCGGTCTGCATCTGCGAGCGAGAACCTCAAGATCGTTATCTCATCGACCCGTGGTCGAAAGACAGACACCTCGGTGTTTGCGAGCAACGGCGGCGGCGGCGACTCGCATGGATTAGGGTTTTGCGAAAAATTTTGGGGGTTAGAATGAGGCCAAGTGCGGTTCTCTCCATCCGCAACACCGAAAACGACCCCGAAAGAGAAGCCATCTTTCACCCCTACCCCTGGGCCCGCAACACAGGGATTGAAGTTCGAATTGCCATCTTTCGCCATAGCCACGAGCAAACCTCTCTCTCCCGCCATTGACGAAAGCACAAATAGGACGAGCGGCAGCAAGAACCTCCAAGAGAGTGGCATGCTCCCCTTCCTTCTTCTTCTTCTTCGTTCTGCTCTTCCTACGACGACGACGGCGACTACTCCTCGCATTTTTTCAGTCATCTTGTCCGACACACCAGCAGAAGGAAGAAGACACGGTTCACGAATAACTTCAGAGCGAGACAAGACAAGGCGCCGACGGCCCCACCTTTCCGCCGGCCTCTCTCCCACTCCCTTCCGCTTCCCCCTGTTCACACCACCTCCTCCTCCTCCTCTTCCTCCTCCTCCGCCCCTCTCATCGACCTCGCTCTTCCAATCCCCGCCAATTCTGCTTCATTCTTCCCGAGCTTTTCCCGCCAATTCAATCCTGCTTCGTTCTTCCCGAGGTCTTCCCGCCAATTCAATTCTGCTTCATTCTTCGCAAGATTTTCCCGCCAAGTCAATCCTGCTTCGTTCTTCCCGACCTTTTTTCCCGCCAATTCAATTCTGCTTCGTTCTCCCCCAGCTTTCCCGCCAATTCTGCTTCGTTCTCCCCAACTTCCCCGCCAATTCGGCTTCGTTCTCCCCGAGCTTGGTCCTCACTTCGACTCTCTCATGCCTTCACCTCCTCTTCCTCCTCCTCCTCTGCCCCTGACGTCGGGATCGCCGCTTGTTTGTCGCCAATTCTTCTTCCTTCTTCCTCGCTTGTTCGTCCACTCTGCCACCATTAGAGTCGGGACCTGCCAACACAACCTTAGCATCGGCACGTGGCACTTCTCAAACCAGCCAATCACAACTTTTCCTCCTTAACCAATCGAAAACTTTTCTCGGTCTTTTTTTTTCTCTTTGTTGGGATTCGAACTCGGGCCTATATTTCAACAGTTCATGGGTGTGTACCAGCTGGGCCGCCCGGGCATTTCCCCCAGGGACCTTCCCTGGCCCTTGCCCAGCCGTGCCGCCCGGGCATTTCGCCCAGGGACCTTCCCTGGCCCCTTCCCGGACAGGAAGCCCGGGCATTTTCCCAGGGACCTTCCATGGTCCTTGCCCGGCGGGCCGCCCGGGCAACCAAAGCGTGACCAGGACGGTCCATTTTTTTTCCCGGCCGGGCAACAGATGCCGGGCCACTCTAGTAACCTAGGTTTCTATTTACAGTAAATACTAATCCACTTCCCCATTGTAATCGTACATAGGAAACCACCACAAGTTGAAAAATAAAAATGGTCAGAAGAAAAATATATATATTATCTCCGGGGATTACAAGCAAAATGAGTCATGCTTCACACTTACCACTATGTAAACACGAAATCACAGACAACATCACCACGAGACTGCAGCCAGTCACAAGTCATAAACAACAAAAACGAGAGAGAGAGAGCAAGAGAAAGAGAGGGGCAAGGGGGGGGGGGGAGAGAGAAAAAAAAACAACAACACAACGATCGCACAATATTCCTGATAAGACTGGAAAGTCGACATCCAATGTGGGAACATAAATTGTGGGATAGCACTATTACTACTACCAAGTAATACTCGATAACCTGCTGCCGCTTCGCTCGCAAACAGAAGATGAGTGGTTCATCTTCTCCTGGTAGGGGGTGCCTGTCTATTCGTCGAAGCACTGTCGATGGACAATGGCTTCATTCACACACACTGATTAATTATGGATTACAGGTATGGCAGCAAAGATAGAGCGGCCGGGGCGAAGGGAAGGCGAGACAAAGAGAGAGAGAGAGAGGAGCAGGAAAACTGGAATCGCGAGTCAACTAGCAACCTCTCTCTCTCTCTCTCTCTCTCTCTCTCTCTCTCTCTCTCTCTCTCTCTCTCTCTCTCTCTCTCTCTCTCTCTCTCTCTCTCTCT